GGCCTTCTCCTCGGCCCCCCACCACTCCGTCCCCCACCCCCCGCTCGCCCTCCCCGGCCCCCCACGCACTCCCTCCTCGGCCCCGGCTCGCCTCCCTGGGCTCCCCCCACTCCCCATCACCCCTGCCCCCCCAGCCATCCCCCTTGCACCCCCACTGCTTCCCTGGGCTCCTCCCCATTGCCCCTGGCCCCTGCTATCTTCCCAGGCTCCCTACTCCCCCAGTCCCCCACTGCCTCCCCATCCATCCCCCCATCACCCCCTGACCCCTGCTGCCTCTCTGGGCTCCCTCCCCCACCCCCCAACCATTCCTCCCTGGTCTCTGCCTCCCCACCTTTGCCCTGAGCTCCCTTCTGCAACCTCGCACAGGCCTTCCCCGCTCCTTGCCTCTAGACCACGGCACCCGGGTGGTTGCCCACGTGGCCCACCCATAAGGCTGGCCCTGATGCTGCTACCCCTTGGGTGGCTAGACCGTCCCGCCACCCACGCGGTGGCGGCGCTGCTATCTGTGGCGTGCGATCTTGATCCAAGCTAGCGCACGTCTATCTACCCAAGCTGGGCGTTACGTCTCCAGCTGCGGCGAAGGGCCGTCTAGGAGCAGAGCAGAAAACTCCCCCTCCCCCCCATGCCCCTTCGTGATGCTCTTTTCACCAAGCCGTATTTCAGGCTCCAGCAAAAGGCCCTTTCAGCAACAAACACGTGTGCCCTGGCGTGACGCGCAGGTAGGACCAGGGTGGCCCATGCAGGTGGGTCCCTCCCAGGCTTGCTGTTTAGCTCCTGATAAAAAACCGATTAGCATCAAAGAGAACAGCACCCGGCGCGGAGTGACTCAGAGGCACCCGGCGACAGTGCCGTGAAATAGGGGTGGTGGAGAACATTGCAACAGTCCGCAGTCAGCACTTTTCAGGCCTACTCACTCTGCCTAGCCACAGCAAGGAACACGCTGATCATTTGGGCTTGGTTTTATTTGCGGGACAGCTGTTCCTGCCAGGTGTGGCCGTGCCCGGACACGCCCTGCTTTTTAGCTCAAATGCTGAGGTTGCTGCTTCGCTGCTCAGCGCTCGCTGCATTGCCTTTTCTAAAAGGCACAGAGATTAGTCCAGGGCCAGCTTTCACGTGCCACCTTTCAGTGCGTTCAGTCATTCGGGGCCTGATCCTCCGCTGGCAGAAATTGGAGCAGCTCTCAGGGTCTCAGGATCCAGCCCTCAATGTAGCTCTAATCCAGTGGGTCTCAAACTTTTGGACTGGTGACCCCTTTCACATAGCAAGCCACTGAGGGTGACCCCTCTTATGAATTAAAAACACTTTTTTATATACGCCTCCTACCCCGATAGAACGCTGTCCTCGGGAGCCAAAAAATCTTACCGCGTTATAGGTGAAACCGCGTTCTATCGAACTTGCTTTGATCCACCGGAGTGCGCAGTCCCGCCCCCCGGAGTGCTGCTTTACTGCGTTATATCCGAATTCGTGTTATATTGGGTCACGTTATATCGGGGTAGAGGTGTATTTGACACCATTAGAAATGCTGGAGGCAAAGCAGGGTTTGGGGTGGCGGCTGACAGCTCGCAGCCCCCCGTGTAATAACCTCGCGACCCCCTGAGGGGTCCCGATCCCCAGTTTGAGACCCCCTGCTCTGATCTGTCTATAGGTAATGAAATTTACCAGCCCAGACCCAATATATGCTCGCCCTCACGTCCCTGCAACGATGATGCTAAGCGAACAGCCAATGCGATTTTACTCGTTCATCCGAAAATCGCAGCACTGTATAAAGCCGGCGGTGCCAAAAACTTTCAAGCATCGCTATAAAGCAGTCTGCTCTGGCCCCGCGTCCCAGCCAGAGCATCCAAACACTGGCCAGGGAGCTTTGTATTGGGACGAGTGTTCGTGCAATAGCTTCCTCAAGACTTCTGAAGGGGAAAGACACCAATGAGTCAAGTGGTTATCATTAGGAACACACCAGAAACCTCAACCAGTTCATTCATAAACAATAAGCCGTTCTCAAGCGGTCACCGAGTGTGGAGGAGCCAGGGTCCTGCACCCCCCTCTTCCTGCGATCGACCGTGACTCTTAGCCAGCCAGGAAAACAGAAGGTTTATTGGACGACAGGAACACAGCCCCAAGCAGAGCTTGTAGGTACAACCAGGACCCCTCATCCAGGTCTCTCGGGTGGAGGGGGACACGACAGGGAGCTTAGACCCCAACCCTGGGGGGCTCCCTCCAGTTCCCCAGCCAGCTTCAAACTGAAACGCCACTGCAGCCGTCTCCTTCCACCCTCCCCCCGGCTCCTCCTCCAGCCTTTGTCCAGTTTCCCGGGCAAAGGTGTCACCTGGCCCCATCCCCCTCCCAGCTTAGGTTACAGGCTTCGGTATCGGCCCTCAAATAAAGTCATCCCCTGCTGTTCCATCCCCCATGCAGATAGTTCCAGTAAAACTAGACGACATTCCCAGGTCAGTCCGCCCCGCTCCCTACGGCGTCACACAAGCCAAAATTCCTCCCTGGTGTAACCTGGAGAAGCCCAGAATCCACAGGGTCATTAATGGAAGAGTTACGCCAGATAGGACTGTGACCTAATAGCCAGCAATGGGCCTGAACCGCAACCCTCTCCTCTGAACCCTTGCAAACGTCAGTGGGGCATCAAGGATCCGTGTCCCAAAGCTCAGCCACTCTGTAGCGTTTTGGTTCCAAATTGAACCCTGAAGTGGAAAGAGTCTATTTCCCATTTGGATGCTGCTGAGATCTCACAACATCAGATGATCTTGCAAAGCTTGGGGCAAAGGCTCATAAGAAGAGCTGGTGCCACTGAATTTCAGACCTAACCCCAAAATTCAGCCCTGATCCTCCCCACACACACACCCCTAAACCCAATTGGGATTGAAACAGCCCATCTCCAACACAACAACATAACACTCCTTCCAAAGCATTTCACTAGCTGTACGCACACACCACCATAGAAATGCAGCCACCTCTGCGGTGGGGGACTGCAGCCCACCGGTGCCCAGCACACACTAGGAGGGGAAAAGGAGAACTTTTGACCAAGGATACTCAAGCAAATCCCATGCCCTTTGAAGAGCACCCTGCGGACTGGTTAATGTCCAGGCAGAGGGACTCAGCATACTGTCCCAATCCTCTATGCAAAGTGGCTAAAGCCGCCCTTCTGAACCGCAGCGGCTTTTGCTCAGTGACAGGCAAATTATAAAACCCTGCCGACATTTCCCCTTTGCTGTGTCTGTACCTCACCTGGATAGAGAACCCGGCTGATCATCCCCGGCATGATGATAACCCCCAGCGGCAGCATTTTCAAATAGCTCGCCAGGATGGAGCCGGCCTTGGCGTGACTCAGGTTCTTAGCCGAGAGAGACCTCTGCACGATGACCTGCAAGAGAGAGGGAGACACGACCAGCTGCAGCTTAGTGCTTGAGAAATTGGGCCCCAACCACCATGTCATGTCCAAACTCCCCCAAACGCTGGGGACGTTCAGCACTCGACCCAAATTTTGCAGCCCAGGCCCATCTGGTCCTTGCATCCTGCAGGGCTGCCCCGAACAGGATCTGCTGGTATTATTCCAGAACATCAGAACGGCCCAGTGCCACCCATGGACTTCCCCCGCTGGAGACCCCAGCTCCTTGCATGCAAGGGTCCACCTCGCCCTCCACTGGGCTGGAGCGAGAACACCGCATGCTGGGATACGTCGTCTCTGCGGGTGGCAGCCTTGCACAACAGAGCAGGAACGCAGCTGCACTCGGCCACGTTTGAGATGAATCGGGTGGGATTGCTGGGTTCCCGGCTAGCGTGACACTCAGTCTGGCAAGGCAGGAACACTGCTCGGTGACAGGCTTTGGTTCTTTGGTCCCAGTGTTAGTACGGCTGTCTCTACACTACATGCCTTTTAGCGACTCAGCCGTGCTGCTACAGCCATGCCGCTAAGAGGTGCGCAGTGTAGTTGCTCTTTGTGGGCGGGAGAGAGCTCTCCCGCCAACAAAATAAATCCTCCCCCAACAGGAGGCGGTAGCTTTGTCGGCGGGACAAAGCACTGTTCACAATGGCGCTTTTCTTTGGTAAAACTTTTGTTATTCGGGGGGCGGTGGGGGGCAGATTTCACACCGCTGAATGACAAAAGTTTTACCAAGTATCAAAGGGGTAGCCGTGTTAGTCTGGATCTGTAAAAGCAGCAAAGAGTCCAGTGGCACCTTATAGACTAACAGACGTATAGGAGCATGAGCTTTCGTGGGTGAATACCCACTTCTTCGGATGCATGTAGTTTTACCTACGTTTTACCGACGAAAGTGCAGCGTAGACAAAGCCTTCGAGTGAGGGGAGAAGTTGCAGGAGAATGTGCCCACGTATATTGAGAGACAGAAGCATTGTTCACACTGACCCTCTCTATCCTATAATGAAGGAGCAATTTTCTCCCCACAATTAAATTCCAGATTCCCCTAAAAAATATATATATGTAAACAACAGCACTAGCATCTGACCCTACACAAACAAACCCACTAGTGCTTACGGTGTCACATGACCATGCATGCCCATCATGCTTTGCGTGCTGTGCCTCTCTGCGCTGTCCTTACCAGCGGGCTGAGAGCACTAGGCAGAGCATCCCACTGCTCCGTCACCGTCACCGCTGCTTCCAAGAGCAGAGCGGTGCCGTAGCAGTGAGTGGAGGAGGGAGCACAACGGAGCATTCCCGCAGCATGCAAGGCGTACGCGGTCATCTTCAAAGCACCAGACACCCGCCCACACAGCCTCACTCACAGGGCTGTTGCATTAGCGCGCCCATTTCACAGATGGGGAAACCGAGGCAGAGGCGTTAAGTGCCTTGCCCGAGCAACTCAGTAGCAAAGCCAAGAACATAGAGCAAGAGTGGCTGGTTCCCAGGACTCTGCTGGAACCAAGCTCCTCCCATTGATGGCAGGGCCGGATTCGGAGCTTCTCTCAAAACAGCCAAGTCAGTGGAAGAGCTGCGAAAAAACCAGCTCAGCTAAACAGCCAACCCCCCAGCTTTATTCTCAGGGGCTCAGCCCCGCTCTGGCTTTGGCTCCATGTTACTGGGACGTGTCTTCAGAGGTGCCAAGCGCTCATGACCCCGCAGTGTTGTTGTAGTCTCTGGGCCCGGGAAAGGCCCGCGTAGGTGACCTCCCCAAGCAGCAGCGTCGCTCTGGAGGGGCCAGAAGCCTTGTCCCAAGTCAGAACGACCAGGCCTTCCCTGCCATTGTGCCTTTACCCGTCATCTACAGCTGCAATGAGCAGGCGCCCCACAGCCATCCTGAGCTACCGGCATCCGGGCGGGGCACCTCCGCTGACGCCAATGAAGTCGCTCTGGAGGGAGACTGGCATGCGTTAAGTGAGCCTCAGGCCCATAGATCCAAGAGAGGGGGAGGACACGGGCTGGCCCAAGCAATTGAGTGGCTCTTTCCTGGCCCTTCCGTCCAACGAGCCAGGGAAGATGCCAAGTGCGGAGGCTGCCCTCGCGTCCCCATCACGGTGACTCAGAGGAAGTCGCACGGCTGTATCACAGCGACGCGGCGCGAGAACCAGCCTGCCGGTCTCACCGGGGATTTCCCCTGGCCAGGAACCTCATTGAGGCTGATTCACAGTAGATGGCACAGGGGCAGGCTGGGGGTGATGAGGAGGTGCCACCTCACAAGTATCGGCCAGGGCACTGATCACTCATCCAAAGCTCTTAGAGAGGAAGGATGGCCCAGGGGTTGGGACGCCAATCTGGGCTTAGGGAGACCCAGCTTCAAGTTCTTGCTCCGCCACAGACTCCACAAGACCTTGGGCAAGTCACTTCATCTCGCTGTGCCTCAGTTTCCCATCTAGAAAGCAGGGTGTTGGGAGGCCCACACCACTTCAGAGTGGGAGGCGCTCAGATGCTATGGGAAGGAGGCCCAGAGATGCATCAGAGTGGCAGGGCCAGAACTACAGCCTAGTGGGTCGCCTGCAAGGAGCCAGCGTGTTTCTCAGCAGTGCTGCTGGAGCTCAGAGCCTCGTGCCAGGGATCCTGTTTGCTGACGAGGCGTGGTGGAAACACGCACGGTGCATTGCCCGGCTTCCTAGCAATTGTCTCTGTTATCTAAATATTTGCTCTTGTCTCAACACGTTCAATGGGCTTTTGCATGACACCATCCAGCTGGGCCCTTTGGGTTTGTTCTGTTTGGATCCAGTGCCAAGAGGCCTCTCTGGCTCGGGCGTGGGGCCATATCGGCCTCAAAGCGGAGCCGGGACAAAGACACGCCCAGGATGTGCTGGCACATTGTGCCTTGTCAATGAGTGTGAAATGCGACCTCCCGCGTGAGTGGAGGCATCTGATTTGGGTGTGGTTTTACGTCCATTTTGCAGGCTGGCATGGGAGCCCACAGCAAAGGATTGTGGGGAAAAGAAGCCATCCAGGGTATTTAACCAGCTAATAGGATGGAAACAGAGGGAGACAAATATCCAGTTTATGCAAGTGGTGGATTAAGGGTATTGGGGCCCGGACCCAATGTAAAGGCCCCTCTGCACAACTAATCAAGCCCCCCAATGCTACGGTGCTGCTGGCTTCCTGCCACACCAATGTCACCTCCTGCTCCACCCTTCTCAGGTGGCATCTTCCCCACCACTGAAATCCACAGCTGCAAGTTGTGTCGGTCCGTGGGTCCCCTCCACGCCCAGAGCCAGGACCTGCGGCTGCATGGATCTTGCCTTAAGCCTGCATGAAGCAGCCACACCGAGGGTCGCGATGGGCGTTGAGGCTACTATACAGTGGCAGAGCACGGAGGTATCTCTGGAGACCTAAGTGATGCCGTGAATTTCTGGGGCAAACTATCATAGGAGCCGTAATGGGAAACGCTGGGTTAATTCTTTCTCTTGGGGGTTTCCAGTCACCCCAGACCCGAGGAGAATTAGAGCTAGGGAATGGCGAAGGGACTCGCCCAAGGTTGCACAGTGTCAGTGGCAGAGCCAGGCCCACACGTAACATTTCAGGCGTGTGTGTCCAACCAATTCTTGCCAGTAACCATTATTCTCTTCTCTTGTCTTTATCAAACAGGGTCAGCCTTTCCACCACTACGTATCCAGGAACTCAGCATGCCCGGGACAAGGCATCCATGCCCCGAGACACGAGAAAAACCCAGGGCCCAGCAAATACAAGGCGGACGGAACCAGTGCTAAAAAACCCACCGCAGCCACCAGCTCCCCGCCATACTGGCAAAGCAAAGGTTTCAGTTCCATCAGGAACGTGCAGCCCGGCCAAGGCCTCCACAGAGCAACCGGCAAGCCCTTGTCCTCCCTCCCAGAAAGCCAGAGGACAGCGGACGAAGTGAGGACGCCACTCGGCATCCCGCTCACCAAACTCTCACAGTCCAAGCACCTCAAGACCAGGGCAGGCGGGGGCCAGCAGGTTTCCACCGACTCCAAACGGAGGCTCCCTGGGGCCGCCAGCCGCAAGGACCAGTAGGCACCGAAGCAGGTGGACTGCAAGTATTCAGAGGCCATAGAGCGGGGAGATGCAATTCCACGAGGGAGGGGGAATATGTTTACATTTACCTGGTCGGTGCACCAGTACCAAGTGGCCAAGACAGATAGCCCGAAAGTCATGCCAGTCCAGGGGAGGTCTCCGGAGACGGGATCTCGGAAGAGGTGCATGGCGTCCGCTCTGGGCAGGTGGCATGTTGTGTTGGGGATAATCTTGGCCGGAACAGCCTTTAAATAAGCCTCTGCCAAGTTCTGGTATCCTCCGATCTTGCTAAACGCTGGAAGGGAACGGGGAGGGGAAGCGGATTAGAGCACTGAAATACAAGCAGATCAGCTGGCAAAAGCCACAGCCACCTTCCCAGGCAGAATCTTTCCTCCCTTCCCGCTTGCCTCAGGAGGCAGGGCCAGGGGAAGAACCACCACACGTTGCGACGGAATTTTATTCTTATTTAAGAGACACACGAGTCAGCTGGTGTTTTGCACAGTTGGGCCCGGTAGATTCCTGCTTCCCCCCGGGGACGCATCCCGGGTCCTGGATCCAGGCTCCCCATCGGGAGGCTCTCTCCACTGAGTTTGTACTTCCAAACTCCACTGAGTTTGTACTTCACTTTTATTAAAGCACAAAGGTCCCCGGGCAGCGGGATGTTCTTGTCTAGGTGGTAAAAGTGACCAGAGGAGGTAGCGACTGACTTGATTCGTGACGGTGCTAAGTGCAGGGTCCACCCTTTGGTCTCAGAAGTCAGACCATTTTTTGTCGATCTAGGTAGTGACCTGATAGCCCCAGAGTCTCTGGGTACCTAGACACAAGTGCAATACAGACTCACTTCGCTGGGTTTTCTTAGGGTCCATCTACACTGCGAGCAGAGGTGATTGCAGCACGTGTAGACATATCTCAGCTCGCTTCGACCTAGCTAGCGTGAGCTATCGAAGCCCACCAGGTATCCTGGCTAGGTACTCGAGTGGCTAGACCTTACTTCTACTGGGACAGGAGCGAGCGAGACCAAAGCTAGCGCAGGCATGTCTGGACGTGCTGCAATCCCATTCACAGCTCCAGCTGCAGCACAGATGTACCCTGAGAAATGGCATCTTCCCTCTGGAGCAGTTAATTCCCAGGGGTGAAACACCTGTGCTAAAGGCCTAGCCCCCCTGCTCTCCCCAAATCATCCCAAGCCTGGGCAGCCACTGGCAAATAAACCCCAGATTACAGACCCCGCCCCTCAGCAGCCCGCTTTCAGCGCCACCCATCCACTCCCAGCCCCGCCAACTTAAGCAGCGGCGACACCCAGCTGCCCGACAGCCCTGCTGCCAGGCGGGAATCCAGGCTTGCTTCCTCGCCGCCGCTGGGAGACGGCGCTAAATTCACCTTGCAGTTGCCCCACTGAAGCCAGGGAATTACCCTGGCTAGCTGGGAGGAGAATTTGGCTGCGGATGCATGGGAAGGCAACACACTTGGCTTGCAAAAGGAGGTGGGAAGATGCCCCTCCCCTTCCTCAGCACTTCCTTCCTAGCCAGTCCATGCAGGAGCACGAACATCCCGTCTGTGGCCACTTCCCATGAGAGCAGGCGCTGCACACACGACGCGGCACAGCGACGGTTACTCACACCCAAGAGGAGCTGCCAGTCTCCTCTTGCCCAAGCCCATGCCATGCCCCCACTGGGCGCCGGGCGCAGACTCCTGCGCCCCAGCGGATGGGGCAGAGGCGAGGTAGCCGTCTGGGGGCAGGTTGAGGAAGCAGCCCCCACTACGAAGGGCTGGGCAAACCCCAGGCCCGGATATCGGGGGCTGCTTCTAGCACAACTTGTGGTGTTTGGGGCTGAATTTATTTTAAAGCCATGGAGGGAGAGGGGGGAAGCAGCTTGTCTCTGTCTCGCCTTCCGTTCCTCCTCTGCGGTGCTGCTTTGTGAGAATCAGAGCGGGGCCTGAACTGGAAGCCAGATCTAATGCCTCACCTCCACCCCAGATCTGACACCCCCAGCTCCGACCCTCTCCCCCTCCATCCAGCCCAACTCTCAGCACCTTGGCATTAGCGGCAGGTTAGATTCATGGGGTTGCCAGATCGGTATGGACCCTCCCCTCCACCCCCCTCCCCTCCTTTCTGTGCCCTTTGAAGGGGTCTATGCCAGGGCTGCCACCCGCGTGACTAGCTAGTGCCCATAAGTCACAGCGGCTGGCAGCCGAGAGAATTACCAGTGCAGCCCATGGAAACCGAATGCCCTGCTAGCGCTCCTCTGGGCCCAGGCCAAAACTGGGGGCCAGGTGAAAGACCTGGGCCGTCTGCTGGGTCTGCCCCATGGAGCCTTTCACGCTCCAGCCTGCTGCGGATTTGTGACTCCTAAGCCAGATGCTCCCAAACACCGGCATCCTTGGCTGGGAATTCGTTAGTGAGAATTCACACTCGGGTACTGGCGGCCCCAAGCCCAGACTTTATTCCTGGATTCCAAGGGCAGACGGGCCCATTGCGATCCCCTGGTCTGACCTCCCGCAGGACACAGCCCAGAACTGCCCTGGGTTCCTGCCGGTTTGAGCATGAGCAGCTCTTGTAGAAAAACATCCATCCTTCTACCTTCTCCTCTTCATTCCCCCTGGCCCCCTGCACTGGTTCCCCCCTAGAAATGAGCCCTGACAAAGCTCCGATCCAAACACCCCAGAACTTTGGGCTGATCAAAGTGCAGCGCTCTGTTTTGCCAGCAGTCCCCAGCTTTGTAACCGGCCAAGCAGTAGACGTTTGAGATCTGGGTCTGACTCTCAAGTTCGCAGCGTGAGCCCATCCCAGTTCCCTTTTTAAGATGCCACCCCAAAAATGCACATTACTCCTCCCTCAGTGTCTTTCCATTCCAGTGCAGTTCCATGAGCTGAGGACTTCAGTAACTCAGGCAGCGGTTACGGGCCCACTACAGGAGCAGGTGGACAAGGGTCTCTGGCCTACGATGGGCAGGAGGTCAGACTAGATGATCCTGATGGTCTTTTCTTCCCCAGAAGTCTGGGAGTCTGCAGTTTAGTCCTGGGACCATCAATCCCAGGCCAAAGTCAGAGGGGGCGGATGGATGTTTTCAGAGCATCGTCTGAGGACTTGAGCCCTCCCACACGCACACACTGCTTTGAGAACAGGCCGGTCGCATTGGGGAGAGGATCAGTGTTTGTAAACTCGCCCTGCCCTTGTGAAAGGGGAAGTGGCTACACGCCCACACCTGGTTAATCCCGGTGCGGGCGAGCCAAAGACCGGAGCGGGCGGGAAGCAAGAATACATGCTCTCTAATAAGAGTGGGCGGTTAGCGAATACTGAATCATAGTGGAAAGTAGGTAGATGCACTCTGGGCCCTGCAGTATTTCCAAAGGCAGCAGTTTGCATGCAGCACCACTGGCATTTGCACACACGGGAGGTGTGGACCAATAGAGGGATGTTGCAGTTTGGGAGGCCCGCTGAGAATTTGTCCCACAGCTGTCTCATTAACGCCCAATGTGTTCACACACCAGGATTAATGTCTTTGTGGTGCACGCCAAAAGGAATCAGGGATTTAGGCTGTCCTTTCAATGACTTGCCATGGTAACCAAGCCATGAGCCACAACAACAGGGTGTGTGCGCGCGATGGTACGTTCCTCTACAGAGGTCGGGACAAGGGCTGTTTGCATCAGTGCCGCAGGGGGTGGGCACACATACATTTGTGAGAGCCGGCCCAGGGCTCATGCTGGATAGGGGATCCCAGCCCAGACCCCTGGGCCAGTCTGCTTGATTTTACCCATCTAGAGCTGGGCTCACAACAGTGGGGTTGGGTTGCTGGCAGTTCCAAAAAGTTTTTCAAAAAGTGTTCGTTAATTGGAACATTTTGATTCAATTTCAAACTTTTTTTTTTAATTTATTTATTTATTTTTAACATTTTTGCATTTTTAAAATAAAATTGGGGGGAAATTAAACAAAATGGCGGGGGGAAGGAAATTCCAAAACCTAAAAAGTCATTTCAACCCCCAAAACTGAAACCTTTCTGAAAAACGTCAAAATGTTTCATGTCAAGATTTTGGAATTGTTTTTAGGGAGGTTGGTTTTAGTTTGATTTTTCTTGACCGGAAATATTTGCGGAAATCGATCCAAGTTCACAAAACGTTTCAACTGACAAAAATGTCAGATGAAAAATTTTGCCCAGTTCTACTCCCAACTCTGTGGTCATGGCTCAGTATTTGTAGAACAGCCTGGTGGAGGTAGCTGTTTGTTACATGAACCCCGGACGAACCCGGTCTCTATGCAATCACGTGGTGCATGTATTTCCCACCAGGCTTTGGTGACTTGAGGCTGTTCCTCAAAGTATTGTGCTGTTGAGTATTTCTGCAATGACAGCCCAGAATGAGTAGTCGGCAGGGCCTGAACCTGTGACCTCGGATTTAAAAGCACAGGCCTCCACTGCTTGAGCTCAAGGAGCAGCTATCTTGCAGCCGGCTGGTAGTAGCGGATTCAACCCAGAGGCATTTGGGAACGACAGCCCCACATGAGCGGACGGTGAAGGTTAGCACACCTGTGTGCACGCCATTCCCGCACTTGCACTCCTGCACAAAGGCCAGATTAAAAACCAATAGCCATAGAGGCCTTCGTGTTCGGCTGCCTGCTCCAAACCTGGGACAATACCCGGCATGCAAGGGCCTTTAGTTCTCTCTTCTCTGTCCCTAGCACAAATTGCGGCCCTCTTTTTGATCTGTACCTCAGGACGGTGGTTCTGATTTGGTTACTACCGGGGGGGAATTGTCCTGCCCTTTTTTGTACAGTCAAAACCTTGGCTGCTGTTTGCTGTTGGTTTGATTTCTGTCAATACATAGCGTCAGAGACAGTGCCCCCTCTCACCCTCCTCCACCCCCCAAAGAACAGGTGCTGAGCTGTACAGGGGGGGTGGAGGGGCTGCACAGAACAGGTGCAGCAAGGATCGCGGAGACATTGGCCGAGGAAGCGGGGGTGTCTGCATTCTACCCTCCACTCTGCCCGACGCCCCAGCGATCTCGGGCAAGTCACGTAGGTCAAGGCTGGTCAGTGCTTCACCTGATTTGGTTGGGAGCTGCTGGCGCCCAGCACCTCTGAAATCAGGCCAGTTACTTAGGCTCTGAGACTTTTCACCATGTTCCCTCCCCATGTGTAGACGTAACTGACTTTGGAGTTAGGGTGTGTACACTCGGACGGCTATAGCAGCACAAGGGCAGTGTAGACACTCACTACAGTCCCGGGAGGGGGTTTCCCAGCAGCGTAGACAATCCATCTACCCGAGAGGCAGTGGATAGTTCAACACAAGAATTCTTCTGTCAACGTAGCGCTGTCTACACCCGGGGCTGGGTGACAGAGCTACGTCTCTCGGGTGGTGGATTTTTCCCACCCCTAAGAGCCGTAGCTGTGCCATTGTACGTCCCGTTGTAGACCACCTCTAGCAGTAGACACCCAACTGTGAAAATTGTGCCTTAACCCTTCTGCACCTAAGTGCCCTGTCCGTAAAAGGAGGAGAACGAGACTTCCCTACCTCCCAGGGGTGTTGTGAGGCTATATTCACTCAGGTGCTCCAGTGATGAGCGCCAGGAAATGCCTGTGAATGAAGTTAGAGCAAAGCCGGAGGAAGACCCCGAGGAAGGGAAGAGAGTGCCCAACACCGGTTCCAGTTCCCTGGCTACATGCACGTGGAACGCTGACTCTCTCACGCCTGGGCTTTTGCTGTGCATGTTTCAGAGATCAAAGGAAGTGGCATTCTGACGTGGGCGGCTCCCTTCTGGGGATGCCCCAAATAACACCCTGGGAGTCAACAGCTGGGAATTCCCTGGAGAAAAACGTGAAATTCCGCTTGATAGTCAAACACCTAACCAGCCTGTCATCCTATATCGATCACATGGATACTGGGAGCCTGCCACGGAGAACAATGAAGCAGGAAGGGCAGTAGGTGGGGAATTCACCCGTGCAGAGACTCAGCATGACGTCTGTGCATCACTTAGACCCACAGGGCGGGCACACATGGGGATATGGCCACAGGGGAGCGTAAGCCGTCTGCAGCGTGACGAAGCTCACCCTAAACGTCTGGGCATGTGACTCGCTCGGATCAGGTATTTTAATTTATTTTGAAGACTGCTCGAGTTGTGCGACGAAAGAGGTTTCCCTGGAGGACGGGGGGGTGTCTGTGCAGCTCCCTGGCCTTACCTGTTACCGCTAAGATGACGGCTCCGATGATCATGATGAGCGTCTGCAGCGCGTCAGTGTAGATCACAGCTGCCAGCCCACCTGCACGAGACGGGAACGAGATACAGGGGGCTCAATCGGCACCGGGTCGGGCGTTGTTGTAATGTCAACAATAAACCCAACCATTCACCTGGAGACGTGTCCGTCCGTTATTGATCCCTGCTGAGCAGGAGACCTTCCACCAAGTTAAAACAGGAGGGCCAGCTCCGTTCACTGCTGTGCAGCCAAGAGTTATGGGGCTGCCTGTCTCCCCATGGGTGGGCTGGGGCCAGGCATACTCCAGTTGCAGAGCAGGGAGCGTAAGGGTGTTGCGCTCCCCCACAAGCGTAGAAGAGGCTGAGCCGTCCGTGTGGAGCAGGAGTCCCAAGCGCATGGGACAAAAAGGAAAGGGCGGGGGCGGGGGCATGGGTTCGTCTGGAAAGAGGAGCTGAAGTGAGCGCACCACGTTCTCACGCTCCTGCGCAGCAGGCCATGCCGCGGCCATGCAGCAGCGCTCTCCTTAGCGCCAGAGCCGAGTCCCGGGCACCGATCTAGCCCACGCCTCTCTTTCCTCTTTGCACTTCTACAGGCAGCCCCCAGGGACGAAGACAGCCTCTTGCTCAGTCCTCTGGCCCGTCCTCCTCCCTCAACAAAGCAGGAATGCCCTCCACCCCCCCCCCGGATAACAGTCCGCTCTCTCGGGCAGGGACCAGCTGAGTGTTCTGGGTTTGTACAGCTCCTAGCACAACAGGGTCTCGGTCCATTAGAGCCTCTTAGAACGGTCACAAAATGGGGCCGTTATTAATAGGTATGTGCGCGCGTCCAGGCCTGGGGCGCATAGGTGCTAATTCCTTAGTGCTTTGCCCTGTTTGTAACTAACCCAGTAACAGGGCTTCCCACACTCGGCTGTGGACTCCATTCCAGCCAACGCGAGAGCACTGCTAAGAAATGGATCCCTCCCTTTTCTTCCTTTCATCCCATTGCCCCTAAGTCTCCTGCCTGGTACTCCTCAAGCAATTCCACACCCTCCCTGGTGTTCTCGCCCACCAGCTGCTGGCACTCTGAGCAGGTCCCCCATTAGTCATTGCCTAGCCAGGCCCTGTGCATTTAGCCCTTCTATGTCCTCTTTACCAAGCAACCCCTTTAGCCTTATGGTCTGGCCAAGCCTGCTCACCTAGGGAGGTGGGAACTCGGCCAATGAAGAGCAGTGACTTAAAAAGGTAGCTGAGTTGTAGCAAAAGGTTTGAAGCTATTGACTCCCGTCTCGTGGCAACACGTCTGGGTTTCACATAACCAGTAACATCCGATTCGATTACACGGATTTTAAGAGATGTTCTCCTGGTTCAATGGCTCAGTGACCCCACCCACTCGCTGAGCTCATAGAGTTAAATACCCAACACCCACATATGCTCTATGGACTGAAAAACACGTGGACACAATTTGTTTGGGACTAGAGAGTCACGGTGACATCCGAATACCGTTTAGAGCAGGGTGGGCCAACTTTTTGGCCCGAGGGCCACACTGGGGTATGGAAATTGTATGGCGGGCCATGAATGCTCACGAAATTGGGGTTGGGGTGGGGGGGGTGCGGGCTCTGGCTGCGGGTGCGGGCTCTGGGATGGGGCCTAAAATGACGAGTTCGGGGAACGGGAGGGGGCTCCGGATTAGGGTGTGGGGGGGGTGAGAGCTCTGGGGATGAGGGGTTTGGGGTGCAGGAGGGTGCTCTGGGCTGGGACCGAGGGGTTCAGAGGGCGGGAGGGGGATCAGGGCTGGGGTAGGGGGTTGGGGTACGGGGGAAGGGTCTGAGGGCTCTGGCTAGGGGTGCAGGCTCTGGGGTGGGGCTGAAGGGCTTGTGGTACAAGAGGGGACTCTGGGCTGGGACCGAGGAGTTCAGAGGGCGGGAGGGGGATCAGTGCTGTGGCAAGGGATTAGGGTGCGGGGGGGGGTGGGCTCAGTGGTGCAGGCTCTGGGCAGTGCTTACTGCAAGCAGCTCCTGGAAGCATGTTCCCCCTCTGGCTCTGAGGCATGGCCAGGTGGCTCTGTGCACTGCCCCATCTGTTGACTCCAGCTCCCATTGGCTGGGAACCACGGCCAATGGGAGCTGCGGGGGCAACACCTGTGGACAGGGCAGCACGCAGAGCTGCCTGGCCATGCCTCTGTGTACTACATAGGAGCCGGAGGGGGGTCATGCCGGCTGCTTCCTGGGAGCCTCGCAGGGCAGGGCAAGCCCCTGACCCCGCTCCCCGGCTGGAGCGGGGCAAATCCCCGACCCTGCTGCCCGGCGGGAGCTGAGAGCCAGATTAAATGGTCTGACAGGCCGGATATGGCCGACGGGCCGTAGTTTTCCCACCCCTGGTTTAGAGGTACTGAGGCGGTGTACTGCTTTGATTGAGAGGAGAAGAGATTGGGCCAAACTTTCTGGGCTGGCGTGACTCCCCTGGCACTGACGATGAAGGGAACCACCACTCCTGGTAATAATTCAGGGGCTGCCAAGGAGATCGGACCCGGTGGTGTGTGCAGGGTGGAAGCCAGGAACTCATGAATTCTACTCCCAGCTCTGAGCCTCACTACCTGTGAATGGTTGGGGAAATCCCATTGGTCAGCCCACCTGTAACGCAGGGAGAACACTGGTTACTACCTCCCCTCCGGGCACGAGTGAGCTGAGATTTGTGGTCTTTGAAGCCGAAGAGCAGGAAGGATTCCGATAAGCAGGGAAGTTGGTGGTGAAATGCATTCGCTAAGGCCCTTCGGATAAAGGATTGGACCCTCTTAGGATGGTCACCATGTGGGGATGTCGCAACGGTGGCCATTAATAATAGGCCCACCTGTGTGCACACGTACGTATACACGAGAGAATCCAAGGCACATGTTGCAGAGGGAGGAAGTTACTGGACATGAGAAGCCCGCTCATGCAGCCCTCACTCCAGTAGTCCTGCTGACTTTCCTGGCCCAGGCAGTGTCTAGAAGTGCAGAGAATCCCAAGCCAATGAGCCGAGAGGTATTTCACTAGCTAGAAGTGGAACGTAAGCGTTGTGCGCCCAACAGAGCGCTGGCCTTGGAGTCCTTCCTGCTCCAACCCTTGGCAACTTACCAGCGATGGTGTAGAGAGCTGTGACCACCAGCATCAGGACGGTGGAGAGGTAGAGGTTCCAGCCCAGGCAAACTTGTACAAACAGGGCCCCCGAGTACAGATCTGTCTGCATGTGAAATAAAGAACACGGCGTTTGGGTGAGGCCCATGGCTACGCCCTGCCAACACCCAGAGAGGTGGGAATGGGGACAATCTACCCAGAGCTAACCTGGGTACCACAGAGCTTAGCACCTTCTGCCATGCACCCAACTGGAGGCAAGTGCTTCCCCACACGGGCACCACGTGACGTGAGCTGGAGGTCTCAGCCCGCTTCAGCCGAGCACAGAACCACTGGCAATAACCAGGGGACTGACCTGCCCTTCCCACCCGAGTAGTGCCCTGCAGGGCAGAGCTGGACAGGCAACACCAAGGGAAGCTCCAAATGCCACTTCTCCGTGGTGGGCCTGTTTGGAGAGAAATTGAGTATGTCAGTCATCAGAGCTGGCAACCTGGCCTCTCACACACTCATACAGGGGTTTAATCCTTAACGAGGAGGCAGTGTGGTCTAGTGGCTAGCGCACTTGCGTGGCACTCAGGACACATGGGTTCCATTCCCAGCTCTGTGGTTGGCCTGCTGGGGGCACCTTGGTCAAGTCAGTTGACTTCTCTGTGCCTCAGTTTCCCCGACTGTAAGATGAGGCTAATGATACCGGCCGCCTGTGTGACGTGCTTTCAGATCTCCAGAGGACGAGTGCTATAGAAGAGCTTGGGATTATTATTATCCCGCCAGGCGCTGGCCTGTCCCCATTCCCTTGAGAACAAAGGAGAGTTAAGGGTGCTCAGAACCTGCCAGGATCAGGCCTGTCACTGCCCCATTGCTGACCCTACCGCTGAGAAGGCAGATGGTCACTGCAGAAGTGGACCCAGCCAGACTCAGCAACTCCCCACGGTAGGTAACTCCTCACTAGCACACACTCCTCCTAGCACTACTTTCAGCCGAGGATCTCAAAGCACTCTAGAAACATTCACTCATTAAGCCTCATACAACCCTTGACAGGCAGGCGAGCGCCAGGTGGGGAAACTGAGGCAGGGCACGGTCAAGTGACTCAGCCATGGTCACGCAGCAAGTCAGCGGAAGATTCAGGAGCAGAACCCGGGAGCCCCGACTCCCCCATGCTCTGCCTCACATCTTTGTTGTTTCAGGCTAAGTGCAGGTCATGCTTTCAGAGCAGGATCCGTCCAGGAGCGGCGCCAGGGTTTTTGGCGCCCTAGGCGGGGGTCCTTCCGTGCTCCCGGTCGTCGTCGGCAATTCTGCGGCGGGGGGGTCCTTCCGCGCTCCCGGTCTTCGGGGCACTTCGGCGGCGGGTCCCGGAGCGAGTGAAGGACCCGCCGCCAAATTGCCGCCAAAGACCCGGAGTGCAGAAGGACCCCCCCGCCGCCGAATTGCCGCCAAGCGTGGCAAAATGCCCCCCCGCTCCAAATCCTGGTGCCCTAGGCAACCGCCTAGGTTGTCTAAATGGAAGTGCCGACCCTGGATCCGTCCCCTGGTGCTCCGGGGAGAGGAGACTACCTCGGCAGGGTCACTAAGCTCAGATACCTCAGAACTAGAGACGCTAATTCCCGGTTACGCTGAACTCCTGATATGACGCACGATGGCACAGCGCCACAACACCCTGAGTCTCTCCCATGTGCCACACCCATGCCCAGAAGGCAGCGAGCTTGGTGGAGCACCAAGGGGACGACGGCCCAGGCGGATAAGAGGGGCGGGCTGCTCCCAGTCCCCGGGCCAGGCACTCAGTTCTCCTGGGAAAGGCCATTAAGCTACCTCATCTCTGCAACATCCACCATTGGGCCCTTCCCAAAGAGAGGCCAGGGTGGCTGGGGAGAGCCGGAGGCAGAGTGGAAGAGGGCCTGGCCCCCAGGAGAAAATGGAGCACGGGAAACACACGGGAGTTGTTCTCCCCCGTGGTGGCAGGGTGCCGCAGAGGCTGTGCAGCATCCAGACCCCCACAGACCCTGAACCTAGAGATGGTTGGAGGGGAACTCAGCTCTTCCCCTCGGTCCCTGTTTTCTGTCTACTCAGCAAACTCCTTTGCCGTCTCTGCCACCCTTCGGCAGGCCACCGGGTGCAGTAATGGGGGAGGGCCAGTCTCTCTCTCTCTGCTTGACTGGATTCGTTCCCTTGGCAGCCGCCGCCGCCTTTGAAAAGCCTGCCAAGCCGTTTCTCAGAGCCCCGCTCCCCGCCAGCTGGAGTGGGACGCTGAAGCGGTCAGAGCTTTGGGCCATCCCCAGTGGGGCGGTGGGCCACAAGCTGGGGCGCTCACATGGGCAGATGGAGTTCATGCCAAGCACATCACAGATAAGATCCTCACCAGGAGAGGAGCAAACGGGCTGAGTGCAAACACGAGAGGAATCGTTGGGTCTGTATATCTATAACACCTCTTAGCTGAAGAGCTCAGAGCAAACCATTACTCAACCCCCCCACAAGCTGATTAAAGATTATACCCATTTGACAGATGGAGAAACTGAGGCACTCAGCGGTGATAGGTGTTGCTTGCAGTTGGGCAGCAAAAAGTAGCAAAGTGAGGGATCAAACCCAGCAACCCTGACTTCCACTCCCCTGCTCTAGCCACCACACCAGATTTGCAGCCCCCAGGGTTGGGTGTATGCTGAGATCGGCCAAAGGAGCCGTTCTAACACACACCAGAGGTTCCGCGAGCCCAGCTTCTGGGGCACAAGGAGGAGATGTTGCTATGAGATTGCAGCAAGACGCCTTGAGGGACCCCAGCTCTGCTGGTCACCTGGGAGAGGCCCCCCCCCACCGGGGGAGGGACTAGTCACTCCAAAACCCTTTAAACCTCATCATTCGATGAAATGTCACCTTTGACCGAAAGCCGGGGGAATGTCCCGGCACATCTCTTCCCTGGCATGTCGCTGGTTGCAAGGCTACCACCCACATGGAGAGCTCTCTCCAGGGCACCATCCTTCCGAGCCTTGTTCATTTATGGCATCACACCCTGTTCGAATCACGCGGCTCCACGGGACTGGAACGGAAGGACCCAAACCAACGGCCGCCCATTGGCACTTTCCACTGCCCAGCAGAGAGCATGCATGGAAAGATCAGTGGGAGGTTAGTTAAAAATGTAGGGCCAGATCCTCAGCTGGTGCAAATCATCCCAACTCCACGGACGCCCATTTACCCCAGCTAAGGATCTCAGAGTTCACAGGGCAGCCAGGCGGGTGCAGGAGGTGTAGTTTATATCTCCTTGGGCCAGCCCCCAGTTAGTCAGGCCTCCAAAGCAGAGCCTTTCAGAGGTGCCAGGGGAAGACCTGCTGACGAAGGGCGAGAGGTGGTTATTAGTAAGAGACCCTTTCCAGGATGGAACTTGGTCCCAGACCAGACTGGCCTTGGGAGGCAGCAAACTAGGGGCCAGGCCACCTGGCTTTTATTCCAGTCCCTGCCGAGTGACCTTGGGCAAGTGAGTTTCCCTGTGAGTAGAACATGGATAACCACACTCACTCACCCAGCCTGAGAAAGCACCCAGATCGACAGAGGAAAGGGCTAAATATAATCATTCATGCCCCAACCCCTCGCACACTTTCCACAGCACCTTCCATGCCAGCATCTTGGCTGCTGGCCTGAGAGGGGCAGGACCCCAGAGCGTGCCTTCTGTTTGGAGCAAGGGAAGGAGGAGTCGTCCCAGAAATGCGAACAGGATGGTGGAAGGAGCAGAAAGAGCCCCACGTTCCCCAGGTCATGGGGGATTGTAGCACCTCCCGCTGTTATACAGAACCCAGGTGCAGACGTCATTCCTTCGCCAGCAGGATCTCCAACATGCCTGAGGTATCTCAGTGGGAGCCGAACAGGCCCAACAGACATTACTGGAAGAGTCCCAGATTAACAAGGCCTTTAACTTGGAAAGTTCAGGAGAAGAGGAGGACTTGGTAAGTCTCAACCCCACGGGAGCTTCACGAATGCGGCTTGTGGATGTTCTGCGGGCCGGTGGGACGCCTACCAATTTAATCAGGAGGGTCCCGGCTACACATGGTGCTGGGGCGCAGCTTGATCTACACAGCTGAGCTGCGTCACACTCAGCTCAGCAGAGCAGGGCATCAACATTCTCCACGGGATTAGCGACGGGGTTGTGCATGTGGAACCGAGGGCAAGATCTAGCTCAAGCTCAAGGTCAAGGCTTTTCCAAGGGTGAGGTGCAAACCGCAGGCCCGTGGGCCCAGCCGCACGCTGGGTGATGAGAATGAACCAGCCCTGTCTGACATCCCCGAGAGCCGGCCAGCCAGGACACGGGAGGGACACGCGCTGTTCTCTAGTCTCCCAAAGAATGTCGGCAGCGTGTTCTGCCGACCAGCATGGAATTAGCCCCCTGGCTGGACCTGCCAGGCTCCATCCCTGCTGGATATCTGTGAGCTGCTGTTGCTCTCGGTGCCTAAGACACAGATCCAGCACCGGTGCCCAGCCCAAACAATTGCGGATCTCTCCCTCTCTGCAGCATCCTGGGGGTGTGGGGGTAAGCAAGAAGGAATCCTCCCACCAGTCTGCCAAGGAGTCCCTCCATGGCCATTACTGCAGGCTAGCTGGAAGAGCCCTTGCTCTCTATGGTGGGAAAATATCTGGTGGATCTTTGCACGTGTGTCCACACTGTCCCCACATTCTGCCCTTGCTCCACTGCCCAACCCCCCTTGGTTTGGGGTGTTGGTATCCCTGACTTGGAATAGAGCCCAGCCCACATGTTTGTACCACTCCACTTCTACAGCAGCCAACACCCTCAGGGAGGAGATCCAGGATTGTCCCCTAGCTGAACAAAACATCTGACTCTTTTTAACGAACAGCCGTGCCATTCGTAATTAACGACTGTATGATGTAATGCCCAGGCTGGGGCCAGAACTTCTGCTGACATCCCCCGAGCTGTGCTGGAGTCAATCACGCTCTGCTGATCTCGAGGCTGTGGCCCATTCATGGTGGGTGTTTTAGTTAATGGTTCTAGCTAGGTTACGAATTTGCCTCAACTCCATTCCGGCCAGGCCATCTCTAAAGGAGAGGCCAGGTCAGTACCCAGGGTCCATTAAGATCTTGGATTCTCTGCTTAGGCTGGTAGGGGGCGGGCAATTGAATACTGGTTGTGCTTGATGTGGGCGCCTTTCCATAGAGAACATATGACCAAAGCCGCAACTAAGCCCTAATAGGACTTTGGGTCACTGTCTTATCCAGCCCCCCAGGAATGGCGCCAGATGCCAGCATCAGCTCCTGGACTAGGTAATTCCACTGCAACGGGTCAGAGATCAGCACAAACTCACCAATAACAATAATGATACCTAGGGCCAGGCTTCACCCTGAGACTCTAAGGGGGAAGGCTTGGGAGCCGGTCACACTCCCCTAAGCCACTAGTCCCAGCACAAGGTATTATTAATTTAGAGGGTCATTCTCCATTGGTGGGAGCATGATGAA